AGGCCAAAGAGTTCAATCTTGTTTCTCATGGTCTGAGAGTCTTTAGGTACCTTTTGGCAAACTCCAAGCGGGCTGTCATGTGCCTTTTACTGAGGAGTGGCTTCCGTCTGGCCACTCTACCGTAAAGGCCTGATTGGTGGGGTGCTATAGGGATGGTTCTCCTTCTGGAAGGTTCTCCCATCTCCACAGAGGAACTCTAGAGCTCTGACAGAGTGACCATTGAGTTCTCGTTCACCTTCCTGACCAAGGCCCTTCTCCCCCGATTGCTCAGTTTGGCCAGGCGGCCAGCTCTAGGAAAAGTCTTGGTGGTTCCAAATGTCTTCCATTTAAGAATGATGGAGGCCAGTGTGTTCTTGGGGACCTTCGATGCTGAAGAAATGTTTTGGTACCCTTCCCATTTACATTTACATTTTAGTCATTTAGCAGACGCTCTTATACAGAGCGACTTACAGTTAGTGAATACATATATATATATTTTTTATACTGGCCCCCCGTGGGAATTGAACCCACAACCCTGGCGTTGCAAACGCCATGCTCTATCAACTGAGCTACATCCCTGCCGGCCATTCCCTCCCCTACCCTGGACGACGCTGGGCCAATTGTGCGCCGCCCATGAGTCTCCTGGTCGCGGTCGGCTGCGACAGAGCCTGGATTCGAACCAGGATCTCTAGTGACACAGTTAGCACTGCGATGCAGTGCCTTAGACCACTGCGCCACTCAGATCTGTGCTTCGACACAATCCTGTCTCGGAGCTCTACGGACAATTCCTTCGACCTCATGGCTTGGTTTCTGCTCTGATATGCACTGCCAACTGTGGGACCTTATATAGACAGGTGTGTGCCTTTCCAAATAATGTCCAATCAATTGAATTTACCGCAGGTGGACTCCAATCAAGTTGTAGAAACATCTCAAGGATGATAAATAGAAACAGGATATACCTGAGCTCAATTTTTTGTCTCATAGCAAAGGGTCTGAATACTTATGTAAATAAGGTATTTCCGTTTTTTATTTGTAGTAAATTTGCTAGCATTTTTAAAAACCTGTTTTTGCTTTGTCATTATGGGGTGTTGTGTGTAGATTGATGAGGAAAAAAGATAATAACAAAATGTGGAAAAAGTGAAGTGGTCAGAATACTTTCTGAATGTACTGCATGTATGGAGCATAATGTAATCTCAGCAAAAAAAGAAACGTCCCTTTATCAGGACCCTGTCTTTCAAAGATAATTCGTAAAAATCAAAATAACTTCACAGATCTTAATTGTAAAGGGTTTAAACACTGTTTCCCATGCTTGTTCAATCAACCATAAACAATTAATGAACATGCACCTTTGGAACGGTCGTTAAGACACTAATAGCTTACAGACGGTAGGGAATTAAGGTCACAGTTATGAAAACTTAGGACTCTAAAGAGACCTTTCTACTAACTTTTCTACTGACTCTGAAAAACACCAAAAGAAAGATGCCTAGGGTCCCTGCTCATCTGCATGAACGTGCCTTAGGCATGCTGCAAGGAGGCATAAGGATTGCAGATGTGGCCAGGGCAATAAATTGTAATGTCCGTACTGTGAGATGCCTAAGACAGCGCTACAGGGAGACAGGACGGACAGCTGATCATCCTCGCAGTGGCAGACCACATGTAACAACACCTGCACAGGATCGGTACATCCGAACATCACACCTGCGGGACAGGTACAGGATGGCAACAACAAATACCAGAGTTACACCAGGAACGCACAATCCCTCCATCAGTGCTCAGACTGTCCGCAATACGTTGAGAGAGGCTGGACTGAGGGCTTGTAGGCCTGTTGTAAGGCAGGTCCTCACTAGACATCACCGGCATCAACATCGCCTATGGGCACAAACCCACCGTCGCTGGACCAGACAGGACTGGCAAAAAGTGCTCTTCACTGACGAGTCGCGGTTTTGTCTCACTAGGGGTGATGGTCAGATTCGCGTTTATCGTTGAAGGAATGAGCGTTACACTGAGGCCTGTACTCTGGAGCGGGATCGATTTGGAGGTGGAGGGTCCGTCATGGTCTGGGGCGGTGTGTCACAGCATCATCGGACTGAGCTTGTTGTCATTGCAGGCGATCTCAACGCTGTGCGTTACAGGGAAGACATCCTCCTCCCTCATGTGGTACCCTTCCTGCAGGCTCATCCTGACATGACCCTCCAGCATGACAATGCCACCAGCCATACTGCTCGTTCTATGCGTGATTTCCTGCAAGACAGGAATGTCAGTGTTCTGCCATGGCCAGCGAAGAGCCTGGATCTCAATCCCATTGAGCACGTCTGGGACCTGTTGGATCGGAGGGTGAGAGCTAGGGCCATTCCTCCAAGAAATGTCCGGGAACTTGCAGGTGCCTTGGTGGAAGGGTGGGGTAACATCTCACAGCAAGAACTGGCAAATGTGGTGCAGTCCGTGAGGAGGAGATGCACTGCAGTACTTAATGCAGCTGGTGGCCACACCAGATACTGACTGTTACTTTTGATTTTGCCCCCCCCCCCCCCCCCCCCCCTTTGTTCAGGGACACATTATTCAATTCCTTTTAGTCACATGTCTGTGGAACTTGTTCAGTTTATGTCTCAGTTGTTGAATCTTGTTATGTTCATACAAATATTTACACATGTTAAGTTTGCTGAAAATGAACATAGTTGACAATGAGAGGACATTTCTTTTTTTGCTGAGTTTATTTACTGTTTTATTCACGTTTTCAAGTACTGGTGAAAAATGATGCATTCCAATTCTTGCATAGATTGTAATGGTATTTATCGTATAAACTTCTCCTGTGTTTGCCCTCATTTATTGATCAATCTCCCATCATAGTAATATTTCCTGAATCATATCCCCCCACGATACCTTCCACCATTTCTACCCCCCATGGACTTGAAACCCCCACCCCCAACAAATAAAATGATTGTTTATGGAATGAGTTTAGATGTGGATGTGTTCCGTGTCATTTATCTTTTACATTGAAAGGTGAAATTAAGGAATAAAGTTGTGAAGACCTTTATTTCCCATCAATACAAAACATTGTTTAGATGCTTTTCAGACAACAATTCTGTTTAGACGCGTTGTGTGCATCATACGTTCTGTTGCTACTGTTCCAATCACATATTTGCGATGGTACGCTGCAGGGACCACTCAACAATGATCACAAATATGTGATAGTATGCGTCAAAGGGTTAAACTTAGTCCCACTGCTTAAAGGAGGGCGTATGCTTCAAGTGTCACATGACAGGCCACAGAGGCTTTGAATGTCCAGCAAGAAAACGAGTTGTAGAGGCAACTGCCGAGGCTCCCCTGGGCCCGCTTTAAACAAACATGCTCACTCCAAGAGGGGGGCAGTGTGGGCGAACATGTTACACCCTCACAGATCACCATAGATACAAAGACTGAAAACACCATGAAAACCGAGGCAATTTATCAGAACATTTTATGTTCCAGTAATAGTGCAATAGAAGTAGTAGAACTTCAAGCTCTGATAGACAGTGGGGCTATGACCTGCATGTTAAGTGAGTCAGCTGAAGAAACACTTCTGAGATGTAACGTGATAAAACCAGAGTCTAGAAAGCCAATTCAAGTAGTTATTGTAGGCTGTTGGGGCAAACAGGCGCACAGCCTAAATATAAATATGACTTGAACATTGATCTTTTAGATTGCAAGATGGCAGTGTCTGTTTTAGTTGTACCTGGACAGACAGTTGGATTGAACAGCATAAAACACATGATGCAAAAGGTTAAGAAAACAAATTGGTATTGGGACAGCCTTTCCAAACCTGCCGAAGAAGATTCACATGGACTTTTACTCAGCATGCTAGCAAACGTGAACCGCTGGCACGGTGACAAGATACCAGACAAAGTGGGAACTGTAGTGCTCAAGCAGAGTGTGACTCATGCCTCAGCATAAACGTTTAGTCTGGGGAAAACTGAAAGAAAAGGTGCCTCTATCAGTTGGTAGTACTGTAGTCGTAGAGGCCACTACAGCGTGATCTGCACCAAGAAATATCCTAGTAGGACGCACTGTATGTCCTTTGAGGGTTGGCAAGTGGGTCCCTATGAAAGTGATCAACATGTTGAACCGCCCTATTGTTCTCCGCCGTAACACCAAGCTGGCTGATGTGCACCCATGACTAGCCCTAGAAGACCTAGAGCTCTACGCCAGCCATGTTGAGGGCCCCAGTAAGGTCCAGTCTGCTGTTCAGAATGTCAAGCCGGGGAAGAATGTTCAGTGAGTGGGGAAATGGCAAAGAAGGAGTATCTATAAAAGTTGAAAGAGCTAGGCTTAACAAAAGTTGACATAGAGTCCTGTGAAGTGTCTGACACGTGGAAAGGAAAACTAGTGGACCTGATTGCTCAGTATGAAGGCATCTTCTCCAGGGACCGACTTGATTGTGTGAAAGCGAAGAACATAATCCACCGGATCCGAGTGAAAGATGAGAATCCTTTCAGGCTGCCGTACAGGAGGGTTCCACCATCCGACTACCAGAAACTGAGGCAGACGTTGAAGGAGATGGAGGAGCGGAGCATCATCCGTAAGTCCAGTAGTGAGTGGGCCTCCCTCCTCGTCCTGGTTTGGAAGCCGTCAGGAGATTTGAGAATTTGCACTGATTTCAGATTTCAGATTGAACCAGAGGACAGAGAAAGATGCGTACCAATTGCCCCATCAAGCCGATGCTCTCGCTGCTTTGGGAAGGAACTGCTTCTTCAGTATTATGGATTTGACTTCGGGATTCTACAACATCCCCATACATGAAGATGTAAGTACACAGCATGCACATCACCTGCAGGGTTATTTGAGTACAACAGAATGGCTCAGGGGTTATGTAACAGCCCAGCAACATTCGGCAGAATGATGACCTCAATCTTCAGCGACCAGAACTACTTGACCCTCCTGTGTTACTTGGATGATCTCCTGGTTTTCGGGAAGAGTGAGGAGGAAGCCCTGGACCTTCAGAGTTCATCCAGGAAGCGTTCAAACTGTCAGTCAAGATCCAAAGTGGCGAGATCCTGGCTCAAGTCTCTCCTGAAGGAGTGAAAGCAGTTTTGGAATCCTGTCTGGAGTGGGATGCATGTGTGCCAGTGCGCAACTTCCAATTAGCCCAGTATTCTGCCAGCATCCTTCAGCATGAAGGGGGATGGCTGCTCTTCCAGTCCTTTCTTCTGACGCGATACAGAGAAAACAGAAGGCGGACCAGGTGCTGGCCCGGGTGGCATACTTCATTGAGAGGAGGAGGAGACCTTCGCGGAGAGAGAGAGCTCATGAGACTGCCCAAGTGTTGATAATGCTGAAGCATTGGGATAAACTCTAAATCAAGGATGGCATTCTCTATCGAAGATCTAAGGACAGAGTTGGCAAGAAGAAGCACCAGATGGTAGTGCCAGACTCCCTTAACCCTCCCGTTGTCCTAGGGTCAAAATGACCCGCCACTGTGTTGAACCAACTTTATTTAATTTTTATATTTTTTGGATCATTTGTGAGAAGGAGGCAGTGATATTTTCTTTAAAGTCTCACTGCCTCCCCACAAATGATCCCAAAAATATATGTTTTTAATAAAGTTGGTTCAACACAGTGGCGGGTCATTTTGACCCTAGGACAATGGGAGGGTTAAAGTCATCGTTCTGAGAGGAACCCACGACGAAGCCGGCCACTAAGGCCAGACTAGAGCCCTCCATCTGGTGCGTCAAAGGTTCTTCTGGACTGGGATGGACGGGGAAGTGAAGAAGTATGTCTCCTACTGTAAGCTCTTTATGGTTGGCAAGACACTGGAGCCAGAGGCTAGGGCACTGTTGGAATCTATACAGACCAGCACAGCATTGGAACTGGTGTGGATAGACTTATGGTCAGCAGAATGAAGGAATGGAGAGAGCGTTGATGTACTCGTCATCACAGATCATTTTATGAAGCTGGCACATGTGTTTCCTTGCCCGATGCAGACAGCAACGGTGGTTGCCCAGAAGTTATGAAACCAGTTATTCTGTGTCTATGGTTTTCTCCAGTGGATCCACTCAAACAAAGGAGCGAACTGTGTGAGACCCTTAACCGCAGAATTGCTACAAGTGTCAGGAGTCAAAAAGTCCCATACCACTCCATATCATCCAATGGGCAATGGTCAGACGGAAAGATTCAACCTCACGCTCAGTAACATGATCCGGTCGTTGCCAGCGAGAGCAAAAGAAAAAAGGCCCCAGATGACACAGACGCACACCTTCTCGTACAACTGTACCACACACGAAATGACAGGATTTGTGCCGTTCTAACCTGATGTTCGGCCAAGTTCCACGGCTATCAGTGGACATCGTGTTTGGAAGCACCTTGAGGAACGAAGACGTGTTGACTCATGACGAGTATGTCGACTTGTTCCAAAAGGACCTGCGAGAGGCTGTCAGGATCGCCCAAGCCAACACCACTGAAGCTCAGAAAAAGCAAGGCAGTATAACAAGAGTGTGAAAGGTACTGCCCTGGAGATTGGAGATTGGCAAAACGAAAGGAAATGGGAAATGGAAAACTTGCCAAATTGTGGTATTCAACGGTCTATGTGATCACTTGGAAAGACCCCTGTGCACAGCTACAGAGTCAAAGATCCTACTACCAAGAAGAGTAAGATAGTTTGTCGAAACTTCATACTGCCAGTGAACTACCTGATGGTGGGACAAACAGACGAGGTGTCCACAGTCGCCTCTAATGGAGGACATAAACGCAGAAAGCGGTGACGAAAGACCGGTATTCGATATGGATAAGGATTCAAAGGATCAAAGGACTGAGGGGCCCACGGAAGCTGAAGCCCCAAGATCTTAGGGACTGGAAGATGGAGTAAACATGAGAGAAGCCGATCCTCCAAGTCCAAGGGAGGACATCATCTCCGGACATGCAGCTAGCTCGAGCACAGGGAGCTCCTCAAGGATGCCTAGTGATGATTCAAGTGATCTTTCTGAAGATGACACAAGTAGAAAAGGGACGTCAGTGAGCAGTCTAGATGGCGTCAGCAGTAGAAGTGCATCAGTCAGCGGCTCTGGATGCATAAGATCTACTAAGAAGAGAATGAGTAACCAGAGAGAGGAAGAGCACAGAAACAGCAAGACGGCTGAGCTCACTGATACAGTCCTGAGACCTAGTGAAGGCACCTTGAGAACTCGAACTGGAAGAGTTGTGAAGCCTGTCAGAAGACTTTGAGTCAATGAGTCAAGTGATCGCTGAGCCTGACAAAAGAGAGCATCTTGCTGCCCTGATTCAAGTCCTATCAACTTTTGTTGAAGTGTAGGCCTAAGTGACAGAACCCCCAGTGAAACATAGAGGCCCAGAGGATAGATCAATAGAGAAATAGATCTTTAAAAAATAAGTCAATAGATTAAGGGAACTTCAAATACTTTATTAGAGGGTCATAGTTTACAGTGGGGAAAAAAAGTATTTAGTCAGCCACCAATTGTGCAAGTTCTCCCACTTAAAAAGATGAGAGAGGCCTGTAATTTTCATCATAGGTACACGTCAAATATGAGAGACAAATTGTGGAAAAAAATTCCAGAAAATCACATTGTAGGATTTTTAAGGAATTTATTTGCAAATTATGGTGGAAAATAAGTATTTGGTCACCTACAAACAAGCAAGATTTCTGGCTCTCACAGACCTGTAACTTCTTCTTTAAGAGGCTCCTATGTCCTCCACTCGTTAACTGTATTAATGGCACCTGTTTGAACTTGTTATCAGTATAAAAGACACCTGTCCACAACCTCAAACAGTCACACTCCAAACTCCACTATGGCCAAGACCAAAGAGCTGTCAAAGGACACCAGAAACAAAATTGTAGACCTGCACCAGGCTGGGAAGACTGAATCTGCAATAGGTAAGCAGCTTGGTTTGAAGAAATCAACTGTGGGAGCAATTATTAGGAAATGGAAGGCATACAAGACCACTGATAATCTCCCTCGATCTGGGGCTCCACGCAAGATCTCACCCCGTGGGGTCAAAATGATCACAAGACCGGTGAGCAAAAATCCCAGAACCACACGGGGGGACCTAGTGAATGACCTGCAGAGAGCTGGGACCAAAGTAACAAAGCCTACCATCAGTAACACACTACGCTGCCAGGGACATAAATCCTGCAGTGCCCTGCTTAAGCCAGTACATGTCCAGGCCCGTGCTAGAGTGCATTTGGATGATCCAGAAGAGGATTGGGAGAATGTCATATGGTCAGATGAAACCAAAATAGAACTTTTTGGTCAAAACTCAACTCGTCGTGTTTCGAGGACAAAGAATGCTGAGTTGCATCCAAAGAACACCATACCTACTGTGAAGCATGGGGGTGGAAACATCATGCTTTGGGGCTGTTTTTCTGCAAAGGGACCAGGACGACTGATCCGTGTAAAGGAAAGAATGAATGGGGCCATGTATCATGAGATTTTGAGTGAAAACCTCCTTCCATCAGCAAGGGAATTGAAGATGAAACGTGGCTGGGTCTTTCAGTATGACAATGATCCCAAACACACCGCCCGGGCAACGAAGGAGTGGCTTCGTAAGAAGCATTTCAAGGTCCTGGAATGGCCTAGCCAGTCTCCAGATCTCAACCCCATAGAAAATCTTTGGAGGGAGTTGAAAGTCCGTGTTGCCCAGCGACAGCCCCAAAACATCACGCTCTAGAGGAGATCTGCATGGAGAAAGGGCCAAAATACCGTGTGTGAAAACCTTGTGAAGACTTACAGAAAACGTTTGACCTGTGTCATTGCCAACAAAGGGTATATAACAAAGTATTGAGAAACTTTTGTTATTGACCAAATACTTATTTTCCACCATAATTTGCAAATAAATTCATAAAAAATCCTACAATGTGATTTTCTGGATTTTTTTTCCTCATTTTGTCTGTCATAGTTGACGTGTACCTATGATGAAAATTACAGGCCTCTCTCATCTTTTTAAGTGGGAGAACTTTCACAATTGGTGGCTGACTAAATACTTTTTTTCCCCACTGTATATGTATAAGGGCATATTTCTACCTGCCAACGTTTCTTTGCTGTCCTTCTGGACGACTTTAGGACAAGGTTACCCGTGGAGGAAAAAGTCTTACCTTATGCCTTAAAGTTTGCCGAAATGAAGAAGGGGTAAGTGTAGGAGAGTTAAAATGGTTATTACATCAAACTTCAAATTCCTGTCCTGACTTTTCATAATACCATTGCTGATCTACATAAAAGCCCAAAAAGACAGCCGTGGTGTTGCTCTTCATTTCTTGGTTCTTCTGTGGTACATACAGTGCATTCGGAAAGTATTCAGACCCCTTGACTTTTTCCAAATGTTGTTGCATTACAGCCTTATTCTAAAATTTATTAAATAGTTTATTCCCCTCATTTTTCGCTTTGTCATTATGGGGTATTGTGTGTAGATTGATGAGGAATTTTAAAAATGTAATCCATTGTAGAATAAGGCTGTAACGTAACAAAATGTGGAAAAGGGGAAGGGGTCTGAATAATTTCCGAATGCACTTCATAAAGACCATTACATATGCTACAATGCTCCCTTATTCCCCATCATTGTTAAATGAGGGGTTTTTGAGAGACATCCTGTAGTGTGGTAGAGATTCAAGCCTCTCCCAGCTGTGTAGACATAGTGCATTTGGGAAGTATTCAGACCCCTTGACCTTTTCCACATTTTGTTACGTTACAGCCTTTTTCAAAAATTGATTAAATAGTTTTCCCCTCATCAATCTACACACAATACCCCATAATGACAAAGCAAAAACTTTTTTTTATAAATATTTGCAAATGTATACAAATTAAATAAACAGAAATATAAAATGTACATAAGTATTCAGACCCTATACATTATTGAAGCACCTTTGGCAGCATAAAATGTGGAAAAAGTCAAGGGGTCTGAATACTTTCAGAATGCACTGTATATAGGATAAATTGGTCCTGTGAAAGGGCATAATGAGAACTGTTTGATGTTAAACTATCTTATTAAAGAAGGATACTGTGGCGCGGAAACCCTGGAAAGTTAAATGAACCCAATAGAGCTTTGCACTTGTTCGCCATTCAATGGAGTTCTCCTCTTATTCATTTGATGGCAGCAGACATTTCATAAGTAGAGCGAGTGGAGGGATCGGATGTTTACCTTTCATGCTTGAGAGCTTTAATACAATAGCAGAGTTCTCCGATTGAGGGGAGGGCTCCAGGAAGCCGCCAAGGAGTTTTGGAGGGGAAACTCTGGACCTCTGCCGGCTTGCTCACTCAACTGGGTCATGGCGGAAACAAAAGTAGACGAAAGCAAGTTTATAATGCCCTAATTTGGCACGTTAGCCGAGTGGAAATGCACACAGACACTGTTATCTGAACAAATCAAGCTATCTGGCACTGCCATTGTAATTTGCTCTGTCACACCAGGGAGGCGAAGGATATTGTTTGTGGGGTTGGAATTCAAGAAACTGCTAAATGCAGGGTCGCAACTTTCACTGGGGACGGGGGGTCATGTCCCCCCCACATCCTGACATTGCATTTTTGTCCCCCCCAGTTTTATCATTGCAATGTGATACAAAAAGCGTCAACAGTCTGCTTTAGGACCATGCAGACACCTCCGAGCGGTCGGGTAGGCTGTTTGGAGTGTTCAGCCGGTTTGGATTTTGGACTGCACGGATACCACAGAGCGGGCTGATAGGACGTGTGAAGGCAAAGCTTCTGGAATGCTGGCTGGACCAGCACGGGAGAGTTGAGCAAAGTTCAGTGTGTATGTGTTGCGCTCTTTCACCGAGTTGTAAAAGCAAGCAGAGCAGAATCTGGCTACTCTTTAGTTGACTGATGTAGCTGGCAAGGTATCTGCTGTTTAACTTAACAGAAAAAAACGAGTGTTTATTCGCAGTGCTGAGCTAGTATTGTAACTGACATGTAACGTTAGCTAATGTTTCATCCCCTCTCAACTGAGGTGAATGAATAAGCTACACTAGCTAGTATCTACTACAGTGAAGTAATCTCTAGACTGTAATCTGTCAGATAGCGATATGAGTTGGCTATTATTACTATCTAACAGCTGTTGTTTGAACGGAAATGTTTTGTCCCGTTTCAGAAGTAAATTAACTTGGCTAGCTTTCGCCAGTTGATGTACAGTTCGAGAGAGAGCTGGCCAAAAGTTGGCTAACGTTAGCTATTATTTTTGCCTCAATCACACAAGACCTGAATCAAACGATGAACCCATCGGCCAAACAATTGATGATTGAAATTCTGAAGTTTTTTCAGTGCGATGTGAGTTTTATTAGTCAGTATGTAACATTATTGATCTGTCAGTTTCCCTAACTAATTCCCTACTTTACACCCTGACACAGTAATAAACAGCTCTAACGTTACAGGCTTCACTGTCATGGTGGACAGTAGAGGTCTGCGCGGGACTGATTTCTTCATCCCGCTCCCACCCACACCAGCTGGCTTTCTGTCCAACTCCCACCCGCTACCGCAAGAACTGGTCCAAAACCCAACCGCAGTCCCGCAATATTATTTTAGGCGTATGTGACGCAGCTCACTTGCCAGCCATGGTCCCAGCAATTTTGCACCTTTATAGGTAATATCAAATGCACAGAAATAACTTAAGAAATAGGTTAAATTTCCAGAGATTCTCACATGGCCCTTATATTGTATAACTGGGCTATATCAGCCAATATGCTAGATGTAGTTTGAAGAGAGCAGAGTTGGAGAGACTTGCACATTCTCTTTAGCTATTTTTATAGCCTACCTTTTAGGAGTGGGAAGATTTTCAGACGGAGAAATGTGGGTGATGAATATTTAGGCGTATTTCTAGGCAATGTAGTAAACTATAGGCTAATCATAGGCCTATTTAGGAAGT